TGAAATTGAATGTATTACTTCCATACCCCAGTAGATCTTTGTGGTTATTCCCTGGGGCATTTGCAGCGCATTTGGAGGGAGGACTTGCCATTTTAGCATGTTTTTTAAATTGTGATTTTCTAAGGATTTTTTTTTTCTTTTTTTGAGACAGAGTTTCCCTTTGTCGCCCAGGCTGGAGTGCAGTGGTGCGATCTCGGCTCACTGCAACTTCCGCCCCCCGGGTTCAAGCAATTCTTCTGCCTCAGACTCCCAAGTAGCTGGGATTACAGGCGTCCACCACCACACTCAGCTAATTTTTGTGTTTTTAGTGGAGACGGGGTTTCACCACATTGGCCAGGCTGGTCTCTAACTCCTGACCTCAAGTAATCCGCCTGCCTTGGCCTCCCAAAGTGCTGGGATTATAGGCGTGAGCCGGCGTGCCCAGTCAGAATCTTATTAAAGAGGCAGATTCCCTAGTCCCATGCTAACTGGGGACCAGAGACTAAAAGTCTGCATTTTTAGTAAGTGCCCTGCTGACTCTAATGCAATGCTATAGAGCAATGAGGCTGTTCCAAGCTGTTTGCAAGTGGCTGGACATGCTGGTAAGTCAGGCCCAAGGCCTGTCCTCAGGAGCCCTCAGGTAGAACGGGCTGGGGTGGCCTCCTTCATCTGACTCACCTGTCTCCCCTCTTGCTCCAGGAAGCCGATGCCAGTGGATGATTCAGATTGCAGCTCTGATGATACCAGCATCTCTGCCTTCTCATCCACCTTGCTGAACCCCATCAAATTAGCTGTGACCCAGCCCAACAGCAGCTTCTTTGCAGGGATGCTGGAGGGGGAGCTGAACAAACTCAGCTTCTCCCCGATGGCCAAGAATACAGAAAAGGAGGACCTGGCCCTCGGCCCCTGCCCATGCCCATCTAAGTGCCAAATGGCCACGAGGGGCCTGCTGGACCTTGACAACCCTGAGCTGGAGACAGAAACCTCCTCAACGCACTCGGAATCTTCTGTGGTTGTGGACCTGCCGGACACCCCCTTCATCTTCGAGCACACTGTCAGCAATTCCACAGCTGTGGTGCGTTTCCCTTGCTCATGCGTTCAGCAGAGGCTTATTGTGCCAGGCACTGAGCTGAGCTCCATGGGTAGTGAGAAGGTGCCTGCCACCTGCATCTCGACCTCAAGTTCATAGTTTAGGAAGGGAGAGGACGTGTCTGTAAAAACTCCAGTGCAAGACAGAAAGTGTTCAGTGCTGTAGGAAAAGTTCAGGCGAAGTGCCACTAGGATTTCAGAGGAAAGATATATTACTTCCAGGTGCAGAAATAAGCCTGGTGGCTTTTGGTAACATCTGGACTGGGAAGCAGAGGTAGCATGTAAACATCTAGAGGTGGAGGAGGGAAAGCGTTCCCTGGAGGGGCGGACCCTAGCAAAAGCTCATAGGAAAGTATGGGAGGAAGTCTCAATTCGAACAAGATGCAGGTGATCTGTAGGAATTGGAAAGCGTGAGAAGCCCTGCATGAGGACCTGGTTCAAGTGAGGCTCCTCGGGATTCCTAGGCCTCCTCCCTAGAGGGTCTGGGGTGAAGCCTGATAATTTGCATTAGTAACAGATTCGCAGAGGATGCTGGTGCTGCCAGTCTGCAGGCTACACGCCGAACAACACCGTCCTACACTATGGGAAGTGAAGACAGGGGTCAGGATGGGGAATGTTAGTCTGGGGTCATCTTCCAGAGTACTCCATTGTTAGGATACTGTATAGATTTTTCTGTAACTAACAGGGAACAGCTTTGTACAAAGCTTCACATCAGATGATGAAAGCAATTCGAGCTGTATCTTGGGAAGATGCCTGGAATTCCACTGTTGGATGGCCCAGAGCAGTGTTTCTCAAAGTGCTCTCCAGATGGACAGTGTCAGCATCGCTCAGCAAATTGTTAGAAATTTAAATTCTCATCTCCTTCCATCACATTTGGGCCTCCTGACTCAGAAACTTTTGGGGCGGAGGCCAGCAATCTGTCTTTTAATAAGTCCTCTGGGGTATTCTAATGCACACCAAGTTTGATAACCACTGGCCTAGATGGAGGAGAAACCAGACAGGAGGCAGCAGGCCCAGAAATCTGCAGTTATAAAACCTCCCTGAGATGTTTAACCAGGCTTAGCAACCATTGTAGTACGAGGTGTACAGGCTCTGGAGCTATGGGTTTGAACCCTGGCTGTCACTTAATTCCTGTGTGATGATGGACCAGTCACTTGCCCTCTCTGGACCTAGTTGTTAAGAAGATCTCTAAGGGCCCTCTCAGCTAACAGAGTCTAGAATAGCGGTTCCCAACCTTTTTGGCACCAGGGACTGGTTTCATGGAAGATCATTTTTCCATGGATTAGGTTGGGGGGATGGTTTCAGGATGATTCAGCGTATTACATTTATTGTGTATTTTATTTCTATTATTATTACATTGTAATATATAATGAAATAATTATACAACTCACCATAATGTAGAAACTGTGGGAGCCCTGAGCTTATTTTCCTGCAACGAGAGGGTCCCATTTGGGGGTGATGGGAGACAGTCACAGATCATCAGGTATTAGATTCTCATGAGGAGCATTCAACTTAGATCCCTCCCATACAATTCACAATAGGTTCACTCGCCTGTGAGAATCTAATGCTGGTGTGATCTGACAGGAGGCGGAGCTCAGGCAGTACTGTGAGCCGTGGGGAGCAGCTGTAATGTAGATGAAGCTTCGCTTGCTCGCCCACCGATCTCCTCCTGCTGTGCTATCCAGTTCTGCACAGGATATCTGCTATCAGTCCATGACCCAAGGGTTGGGAACCCCGGTGTAGAAGAAACATGGAACGAGGGTGCACCCTAAAGTGGGCGGGGCTGCCCAAGAGAGTAGCACATGCTGCGGGGCAGGGCTTCCACACTCAGTGCTGCAGTACCTCGCACCTTCCATCTGACCTGCCTGGGTCCCAGCAGGAGCAGGGGATGGGCGTGGGACATCCTGACCCCAGTTGGGAGGATGAGGGGACAGGAAGGACAGGACAGATATGAGGAAGCCTTGGGGCTCTCTCTTCCCCTAGATTTCCTGGACCTACGCCTTGGGCAAGCAGCCGGTCAGTTTCTACCAGGTCCTGTTGCAGGAGGCGGCCGAGACACAGGAGAATGAGTTGCCCAAGGCAAAGAATCGTCCATGGATCTTCAACAAGATCTTGGGCACCACTGTCAAGCTGATGGAGCTGAAGCCTAACACATGTTACTGCCTCACTGTCCGTGCAGCCAACACAGCTGGGGTGGGGAAGTGGTGCAAGCCCTACAAAGTGAGCCCTGGGAAAAGAGGGGTCTTGGGGGTGGAGAGAAGTCCCAAACCAGGGAACCAGGGCTTTGGAGGTTGGGAACACCCCCATACCCACATGTCTCATCTGGCTAGCTTTCCTTCCGCCTGGGTCAAGAAGCGTCAATTCCAAGATGCATGCTTCTGGGAGGTTTGCGGATTAAGCCACTCTGGGGCCCACTAGGAATGCATTTTTCAACATTGTATTTTTCAATGAACGTATTTTTCAACATCACTATAATGTTCCCCTTCCAAAGCCATTGGTTTTTAGACTCTGCAACTCAGTGCCAATAATTGTGAGTAGGCTGGGAAGTCAAGGGCATTGAAAGAAACAGGCAAGACAAGAGGCTAAAGGGGGACGAAGAAGGGAACAGCCGGGTATAGGTAGGGGTACGGGGGTGTAGAGGCCTGAGTAGAGACAGCCCTTTGGTTGGAAACATCCCATAACTGAGGAGGCACAGGCTTGAGTCATGCATCTTTGTACCTGTTTCCTGCATCAATGGCTAGGTTGGATAAGGCTGTTTAAAACAGGTCTGAGTTAGCAGACAGAAAAAAAAAGGAGGTAATAGAGAGCCAGGCTCAGATCTCAGAAGGAATTCTGAAGGGTTTTCTTATTTCACTTCAGTTTGCAACCCTGGCCACTGACTTCAGCAGCTTTCCTGAGAACAACCCCATCCAGATCACCGTGCGGCGCAAGGAACCCCAGCGAAAGATCGTGTCCATCGGGCTGGAGGAGATGCGGAGGCTGGAGGATCTGGAATACCTATTTCCCTATTAACAGGGAGGGCCCCAGGACACCCCTCACCAACTTTCAGCTTTGGCCCCGGGCCCTTAGGAACCAGAACTGTAAGACTTACCGTACCACCAGCACCATGCAGGCCCAAGGGCCTGGCAGAGTGGTATGGGAACCCCACCCCTGGGCTGGGGCCAAGGCTAGATAGATAGGGGCCCCATTCACCCGGAGACATCCCAGGCCAGGCCATGCCAGGCTCAGCCACTGCCCACAGCTGCTAGACTCCGTCCTCCCACAAATCTGGGCTGGGTCCAGGTCCCTCATTAAAGAACTGCAGGCCATCTAGCACCCTAAAATCTGCTTTATGCTGCAGACAGCCTCAGATGGGCTGTCACCCACCTCTTAGCTTCCACCAGGACGGACTCTACATGAGTAGGGAGATGGAAAACAGGCAGCTAGGCAATAGGATGCTGCCATCACCCCTTCCCCAGTGGGGCGGGGGACAGGGGCAGGGAGACTGGTGCTGTAAGACTAAAAGCCTCTTACACCAGAAAAACACAGAAATAGCTGTCATGGACAGAAGTGGTGGCCCATGAGCTGTCAAACTAGCTTGAGCTCTGGAGGAAGGGATGTGGTACAAAGTGCACGATAAGCTTTGGGGAAGGGTCTGGTTTAATCCCAGCTCTTCCTCTTACTGGACGTGGGGACGCGGGCTAATCATTTAAGCTTCTTGTGGTGTTTCCTCATCAAAAGTTTGGGGGCTTGAGAACTTTCCAGGCCTGGTACAGTCTGAGGGCACAGCAGACAAGCACCTGACACCAAGGAGCTCAGTGGCTGATAGCTTTGTTCGCTTCTCATGTAGCCTCACTGCAGAGATGTGCAAGATGGAGGCCAAGCACCGCAGCTAGGTGACGTGCAAAACCCAAAAGCACAAAGGGTGGAGGAGGGTAAGAAGGAGCAATATGCTAGTTCTGAGCAGTTTATACAAGGATGGTTTGGAAATCCAATCTGAGTAGTTCATACCATGACCCAGCTTAGCATGGGATGCAGGAGAAAGCGGAGGCAGGGTGCATGCAGGGCAAGATCTCGGCCTGCGGTCTGAGTCCTGATGGGAATTCCTTTCATTACTTGAAAGTTCTCATGTGGCAGAGAACTATCCTCTGTTATCAACCATACCCACTTGGGCTCAGAGCTTACTGCTGCCTCCCCATCTGAGGGAATCCTCTGGAAGAACCATCACCTTCCCCGCTCTATCCTGAGGGCCCAGGGAAGTGCTTGGTGCCTGGCAGGGCCTCAGGCAGTGTGCTACGGGAAGGCAGAGGTGTCCCCTAGAGCAGGGCTGGCCAGCAGAACCCTCTTAATGACGAAAACCTTTCCGTGTGCTATCCAATACTGGAGGCCTTACCCCGTGTGGCAGAGGAACTGCACTTCTATTTCATGCCAGCAGCCACATATGGCCGGTGCCTACTGCAGTGGACAACAATACAGCCCTAGATTCTCCTTGGCCACGATCACGACTGGCCTCTCTCTTACCGACACGGGGGAAGACAGGGAAGGCAAGTGCCTGGTCAGTGTGGTTTTGGCGTAGTCCAGTGCAAGGGAGGGGGCTGGACAATCTGATTTAGCACAGTCCTTGATTGAGTTCTGGGGATTCTAGGACAAGGAATTAGAACCCAACACACAAAACATAAGTTATTTATTTGGTCATAGAACCTGGGGTCTGACCCTGTACAGAGTTGACACTAGCAGCCCACTCACAGAGCCTGGCCGCCCACCACCCCCGTCTGTACCAGTAAGGTATAGAGTAGCAGACACAGGCCAAGTTCGGTGACAACTTCCTGTGACCTTCGATTTCTGGCTCTGGGGTGTGCCACAAGCAGGGGATCTGTGGGAAGACCCCACTCGGGTCTGTCGAGGACAGCAGGCCACGCGCATTCTCAGGTCCCCACTGGTGGGAAGGGTGTGTGCGCTGCCACCCGAGTCTTTGTTCTCTGGAAGGAAAGGCGGCTGGCAGAGGCCGAGTCCAGGTGGGGGTCAGAGAGAACTGCAGGCCTTCTCATCTCCTCCATCTGTGGAGAAGGGAAGGGTGTCAGGATGGAGATGCCACCTCAGGAAAGGGAGGCTGTCATATAATCCCAGTGTCAACTGATAGATGGCCTGTAGTCCACCCTCAGAGTCACCAAGAGCCGGGCGACCGTCTCTGCTCTGGCCACCCAAACTCAGGCTGCCCACCCACTGTCTGCTGCCACCAGGACCTCCACCCAGGGCCTGGCCCCTGGGATGCCCACCACCAAACAGTCACAATCCCTTATAAGCACATGACACTTTAGCTTCCAGAGTGCTTACCCTCCTATTTTTGATCCTGTCTACGAAGGTTTGATAATTCCCAAGAGACTGATTAACCAAGTTCTCTGTAATTACTCATTGGCAGAACTAGGATTTGAACTCGTGTCTTGGGACTCTGAAGTCCAGTGACAGAAAGACCTGGACGTGCCCTCTAAGAGGGTATCTTTGGCCTCTGTTATTCCGGTTGCCCTCCCACCTGCCCACTGAGAACCTGGCTCCACACACCTCCTCAGGACAGTCTGAGCACCTAGACGGCCCTGTGGAATTCTATGCCATAAGGGAAAGTGTGCAAAGAGGGACTGGCTTAGGGTCAGGAGGGCCAAGCATGCCAACCACCACCTCCCCCACACTCACATCCGGAGGCATTTGTCCTTCCCACCACTTGCCACTCTCTGGCCATCTGGACTCCAGTCAACAGCATATACCTACAGGGAGGCAGAGGAGGGAGGCAGAGGAGGAAGGCAGGTGAGGTGGTGAGAGGGAGACAGCCAGGATCCAATCCCAATCCCTCCTCTGCCCGAGGGTTGGCCCTACCTCATCCGCGTGGCCGGGCAGGTCCATGGCCAGCTTCTGGGCCTTCACATCCCACACCTTCAGTGTGCTGTCACTGCTGCCGCTGACCAGGAGCCGGCTGTCAGCTGACCACGCAATCTGGTAAACGGCAGCCACGTGGCCGCGTAGGGAAGCCAGGTACCTGGTCCAGAAGACGATGATGGATCTTAGTCTGAGTTAGATCTTCCAACATGTCTAAAGGGTCTCCTATGCTCACGGTCATGGTTCTCAACCTTGGCTGTTTGTTAGAAATACCTGGGAACTTTTACAAAATCATACTGCCTGGTCCCCATCCGAGGCCATTTTAATCATTACCAGTCATTACAATTTGTAAAACTTCTGCAAATGAGTAGCTTCTAGCATGCCTCTTGCTTGCCCTCCATACCTGCACAACTTTGCATGCCTTAGACTCCAACGTGGCCATCTGCTTAGCCCATCTGCCTGACATCCCCCCAAGCAGCAGGTGCCTGCTGACAGGGGGCATGGAGTAACAGTGGGCCAGGCCGACCTGAACTTTCACATCAACACAGTCTAGCTGTTTCTCTTTGGACAAACCATCAGGCCTCTCTGAGACTCAGTTTCCTTATTTTAAAAAGGAACCCAATTACCTATGTTAAAGGGTTGCTGTGTGAAAACACAGTGACTGATGCAGAGGTCCCCCTTCAACCCCAACAAGGTATTCCTGGCTCTTTTTCTCCCCTTGCCTCTGCCTTTGCCTCTCCTCTGATCTGATTAACCCCAAGGGCATTGTGCTTCATCACACCAAGGGTTCCCACACTAGAATGCGTAGCAGAGTCACCTGGTAACTTTATTAAAATGAAGAATCAGATCCACAGGGTCTGAGTGGGGGCCAGGACTCTGCATTTCTATCAAGCTCCCATGTGATGCTGATGCCACTGGTCTGTGGCCCACACTTTGAGGAGGTCCAAGTAACATTTGTACCACAAGCCTACCTACCACCACTTCACCTTCTCCAGGGCTACAGCCCTACCACTTCAGCTAGCTCTAAGATCACTTCTCTCCTAAGACATAAACTAGCTTTTTCTTGAGACAGAGTCTCACTCTGTTGCCCAGGCTGGAGTGCAGTGGTGTGATCTCGGCTGACTGCAACCTCCGTGTCCCAGGTTCAAACGATTCTCCTGCCTCAGCCTCAGGGGTAGCTGGGATTATAGGAATGTACCACCACGCCTGGTTAATTTTTGTATTTTAGTAGAGATAGGGTTTTGCCATGTTGGTCAGCCTGGTCTCAAACTCCTGAACTCAGGTGATCCGCCTGCCTCGGCCTCCCAAAGTCCTGGGATTACAAGCATGAGCCACCGCACCTGGCCTGAACTAGCATTTTTAGTGACCATTTAGTGTGGGTCCTAAACATACTGTCTCATTAAATCCTTGTAACTAGGCCAGGCGTGGTGGCTTACACCTGTAATCCCAGCACTTTGGGAGGCCAAAGCATTTGGATCACTTGAGCCCAGGAGTTCAAGACCAGCCTGGTCAACATGGTGAAACCCCGTCTCAACTGAAAATACAAAAATTAGCCAGGCACGGTGGCAGAGGCCTGTAATCCCAGCTACTTGGGAGGCTGAGGCAGGAGAATCACTTGAACCCAGGA